GTAACCGGGAACTCACTCAGTTTCTTCTTGTGCCAAAAGACAGCCATGTCCTTATGCAGATTTTTCCCCTTCTTCCTAGCCAGGGCTGCAGATGCCTAGGGAAACAGTCCACACCACAACGTATGAGGACGTCAGACCAAAGGAAATGAAATTAAAACTTCAAATGCAGTAGCAGAATTTGTACAGTTTTGTACAGAGCGAAGCCTCCATCCGCTACATGTTCTGACCATGCAGTCTGCCTCCAGTCACAGCAGCCACGGTCCTCACCTCTCTTACCTGTCTCACAGGCATGGATTTGCTCCTCTCCTTTTTGAAAGTAATGACTTTACTGTGATAGAACCCACAGATTAGCCTTGTTGGCATTTGGTGAGGTGACTCTCACCATCTGATTACACATACAGTAATACAGTAAATACATACGGTATTGGAAAGATTGCCAAGTCACACTTAAAGACAAAAAAAAAAGAGAATGACACACGTGGGATACATTTTATCACAAAATCAAGTACATTTTAGTATACCCATAGACAAACCTATGAAAAGGTCTAGAAAAATACACATCATACTAGGTAACCGTGCTTGCTCCCAGGTAACAGGAGAGATGAGGATAATCAGGAGACCTCAGCATTGTATGTATCAATGAACTACTGCCTACAACAATGTATTTACACACCTATTTCATAAATATTTTTTTAGGGTTCAGCTAGAAAAGTACATCTCAATAGTCAAATACCTTCAAAAACAAAACAAAAACGAGGCATATGACCCAGCACTTCTACTTTAAGTGTATACCCAAGAGAATGATAGGAAATATTTGCATACCTGTTCACAGAAGCATTATTCAAAATAGCCAAAAAGCAGAAACAGCCTCTGTCCATCGACAGATTAATAAAGAAAAATACATCTACACAATGGAATTATTATCCATCCATAAAAGGAATAAAGTACAACCACACAAACACTGAAAACGTGATGCTGACCAAAATAAGCAGGACAAATACTGTGATTCCACATAAATGTAATTTCTAGAATAGGCAAATTTAGAGAGATAGAAAGTAGATTAAAGGTCACCAAGGGCTTGGGGAAGGAAGAAATGGGAAAATACTACTTAGCGGTTAGGGTTACTGTTTGGGATGATGACAAACTTCTAGAAATAGATAATGGTGATGGTGGTACAACACTCTGAATGTAATTAATGCCACTGAATTGAAAGAAAAAAAGAAAGAAAGGAACAAACAGCAAAAACTCTAAAGCTATGGAAGTATTTTGGCACAGAACTTCTACTCTCAGGAATTTAAACAAAGGATGTAAACCAATCAGAAATACATGTACAAAATGTCCACAAATAGAAAATTAACCAGGTAAGTAAACAGGACAGAATGCCATACAGCACTTAACAATTCTCTTCTAATTAGGCTATTTATTGATTTCAGAAAATACTAAAGATTACAACCTGAAAACATAAGCAAACAGTATATGCAGCATGATCCCATTTGTGTAAAAACAACGTGACTATGTGTTTACAATGATATTAACTAAAATATTCATAGTTCATTTCAAATATTCATATTCATCTGGTTTTTCCCCTACATCATCACTTAAAAGAAGTATGAAAACATGCTTTCCACTTTACAAACTCTAAAGTACTTTTTCCCCAGAAGAAAATTCAGAAATAATAAAAACATAACGCAACATAGTGTGAACAATCCCCATATGCATACACCCTACAACTAATGCGTCATGCAAATGTGTACTTATATACATATTTAAAGTCAAGGTATAAACCAGATAAGTAATGTCAGTTATCCTGGAGGATAGGATTACATGGGGATTTTTTCTGTATTGTTGGAATGTTTACAGTGATTATGTACTATGATCAAATAAAAGAAAATCAGAAACAAACAAGAAAACTCAATTTTGAAAAAATGCTATGTGATTATAGAGCCAAGTTGAGAATAAGATATCTGAGTGCTTGCCCATTCTAGCAAGTAAGCGATAGATTAAAATATAAGTTTTAATGGGGCACCTGGGTGGCTCACTCGGTTAAGCATCCAACTTCAGCTCAGGTCATGATCTCACAGTTCGTGGGTTCGAGCCCCAGATCGGGCTCCTGACAGCTTAGAGCCTGGAACCTGCCTTGGATTCTGTGTCTCCCTCTCTCTCTGCCCCCCAACCGCTGCTCACACTGAACATTAAAAAAAGTTAAAAAATAAAATAAATAAAAAATAGGTTTTAAAGTGACAAAGGTCACTCGAACTTTTTCTCACTCACATTAAATTTGTTGGAAATACTCACATGATCAAAAAAATATACCACGGCAAGCTTTTTGCTGCGCCTGGTATAGATGCGCTGCACTTTAGCAATTTTACCAAAGTGTTTCTCCAAAATGGTTCTGTCGTTGAGATAGTCAGGGATGTTCTTGCACTGGATAGCTGTGATTTCAGCAGGAGACAAGCCTCCAAGACTGTCTGTGCTCTCGCTTCTTTTACTTTGACGCCCAGGTGTTCCTCTTAGAGAATCTAGGGATAAGAGAACGGGCACAAAAACGTAGCAGACGTCACATCTCAAATAGGAAGCACCAACTATGTAAGAGCAAAGTAAATGTTTATAGATACAAGACATTTTCTTCCTATGTTAGAATTCCTAATGTTTACAGGAAACTTACCAGAAACATTAAACTAAGACTCAGGGAAATTTACCAAGAACAAGCCAGCAGCATTTACTGGATGGCACACATTTTTAGAGCTCACCTTCTTTTTTATCTCTACTTTCAGTTTCCTCCTCCTTCACACCTGGGAGCCGGGAAAGTGCTGAGGAAGACTGACTCCCTCCTGGGATGGCCACAGGGTCATTTTCCGCGGACTCAGTACAACCAACTTCCTTTTTAGATTCCTTGTTGCCAAGACGACCTACTTCTTTATTGCTTTTGAAGACATCCTGTATCGTTCGACCAAACAAGGTGCCTCCCCGGGGTCGATTCAGGCGGACAGGTCGTTTATCTGGAGGATGATCTCCCCTAGACAGAGCGTCCACATCTTCTGCTCCATCATGGCCATGCCTCCTTGGGGAGCGATCCTGGTCCTCCTTCCTTTTCAGTCCCTTCATGAGGCTGGGAAGTGGCTCCATTTGGGATATACCTTCTTCACATCCTTGTCTGACCCCGGTTTTGCTAACCGGGTAGGGTTCTCCCAAAGACCCTGAAGATATGGGGAAGCTAGTGAAGCTACTATTAGAACTTCCAAATAGTGATTTAGAGCCTCTCTTCTCTTCCTCTACGTTTTGGTTTGACAAAGCAGAGGCAAAGGCAGATGACGAATTATTACTGTTAACTGGTTTTGAAAAGGTGAAATTTGAATTGCTAGCTGTACTTGTCACCTGAGAAAAAGAAAATGGTGCCAGTCCCCCAGGTCCGCTACTAATGGGGTGAGAAAATGTGAAAAATCCAGAAGTAATTTGACTCTGAGTTTTCTCAGGCTCAGATTCAGCCCCCAATATTGGTCTGAACACTGAATTTTCCAGAGGTTTAAAGCTAAATTCTGTTTTCCCAAAACCAGAGCTTGTTATTTCTCCAGTTTCTGGTCCAAATGTAGAAGTACTTGGGAAAGTCCCAAAGCTGGATGATTTAAAACTAAATCCTGGGTTTCCAGGCACACACGAACTTGAAGGCCCAGAGGCAGCTACAAAGGCTGGAGTGTGTTCAAGTCCTGAAAACAGTCCAACATTTGAGGTCTGGGAAAATCCTAATGTTTGTGCTGAAGAAGAATGACTTACTCCGGAAGATGTTGGAAAGCTGGATACCTGTGAAAATCCTGACGTTTTCCCAGATAACGTATTGCTTTGTCCGAAAGGCGAGGGCTGACCAAATCGAAATGGCGGCTTAGCCTGAAATGTTCCTATGGAACTACTGGAAGATGCTGGAAAAACCCCAGGCTGCTGCCCACTGAAAGGATTGGTTGGGTTCATCTTCTGATCCAAGGTAGTGAATACTATGTATACACAAGTTGTTCTCTTCTTTAAACAGTCTGTTCAACTAGGAAGCCACCCTCATCTTCACAATAAGCTGGAAGACAAAAATTGAGATCATCACAGCTATGTCCTGCTGGAAGACTAAGAAGATAATTTTTAAGCACATGTCACACTCTAAGAATAATGGAAAGTTGGGCAAATCAAAGGGTTAGGTATTATTTTCTGAGAGCCAGTGGGGAGTTTGTGGGGAGGGCTGGAGTAGAGGGTGGAGAAATAAATTACTTCGTTACTGGAGATTGAAGCGTGATACTTCAGACTAAGGAAAAATTCAAATCATTTTCTGAATTGGTAAGTTCACGAAAAAACTCAAATAACAACAAGAAAATGAATGTAGTCACACTTTTAAAGAGAGGAGTTTCTCCAAACTTATTCCAATCTCCATAGCCAGAAAGCTACAGTGTAACGCTGTTAAGAACATTAGTGTTGCAGTGTTTTCTAATTTTCTCCCAGCAACCAGAACACTAAATGTTCTTCCCAGATATAGAAATAAATTGTGTTGCCATACCTGCGATGACCCAGAAACCGGCTCAAAGGACGAGTGCCCCGCAGAGAGGCCGCCCCCAGACCCGAGAAGGGCCGGGAACGGATGCCGCGCAACCAGAAAAGTCCCGCCCCCGGCCCTCGGCCGCCCGCGCCCCAGGCCCGCTCCGCGGACTACAGGGGCGCGGTGGCGGGGAGATGGCGCAGGGGAAGGAAGCGGCCTCCACCCAGGTCGGGCCCCGCGCCGCGCTCACCATCCGGCTCAGGGACTCGGAGACCCGCCGCCTGCCGCCGCCCCGGGGCCCCTCGGCGCCCGGCTGGAGGCGCAGACACGGATCGCAGCCGCCGGAGCCAGGCCTTCGCTGCGCGCTGCGGAAAGAAAACGCAACGGACCAGCTTCCGGCCCTTCCGCGCGGCTCGGCCCCACACTGACTCCGCCACACTCTGGTTCCGCCCTCCAGCCGGAAGGCCGGAGGGCTTCCGGCGCACGGGATGTCAACGGGACCCCGTTGGCTTCGAACCTGGTACGTGAGCCGGTGGCTTTCTCTCTAAAGCGGGGCGTCGTTCGCAGCCCGCGTGCTGCCCGTAGCCTGCGTTCGGAGCCTCGGTGCCACGCTGAGTGGTCCCTTGGGAAGCCCCCGACCCACTCCCCCACCCCTGCCGTCTCCCTAGGACTCACGCCCTTCGGCCCTTCCCCTCCCCGCCTCCGCTCACACACACCTCCCCATAGCACCCTCCCACGCTCCCCCCATATGATCCCACACCTCCCCTCCCCTCACCCCACACCCCCCCACTCCCCCTCACCCTATAGCACCCTACACCTCCCTCTCCCCCCATCCTGTACAACCCCACACCACCTCACAACTCACCGTATTCTTCCTCCACCTCCTCGCCCGCGCCCCAACCCGGTTTCATTATTAATGGCCCCTTCCTGGCTACAGGTCCTAATTTCCTACCTGCTGTTCCATTCTGGCAGGCCTGACTCTAGGACTTCCTATTATATTCCCTCATTTTTGTATCTTTCTTATGGTAAAATGTAAATCCCCTTAAATTTTTCAGTGAGTTTCACAAAATAAAATGATGTGAGGTCTATATGTGTTTTTATAGAGTTTTATAGAATTTATTGCCACTTTCAATTACTGATTTGTGTTCTTTTAAACTTTGACCACAGGCTCCTTTTTAAACATTTTTAAAGGGCATGTTGTTCCGAAAATGAGTTTGGTGCTTAGAAACCTGCAACGAGCTGTCCCCATCAGGAGAGCGCCTCTTCGCAAGAAGTTGGAGATTGTGAGGAGTATATTAGGGGTGCAGAAATTTGACCTGGCGATCATCTGTGTTGACAACAAGAGTATTCAGCACATTAATAAAATCTACAGAGAGAAAAATCTGCCAACAGATGTGCTTTCCTTTCCATTTCATGAGGTAAAAAGTATTCTCCTCTTGTCTGGCCCACCTTCTGGTGTAAATACTCTGATTTTTAAGTTTTGTTTTGGAAACTTTAAAATAGGGGCACCTGAGTGGCTTAGTCCGTTAAGAGTCCAACTCTTGATTTTGGCTCAGGTCAAGATCTCGCCATGTGGAGACTGCTTGGGATTCTCTCTCTCTCTCTCTCTGCCCCTCCCCTGCTCTCACTCTATCTCTAAGTAAATAAATAAATAAACTTGAAAAAAAAAAAAAGAGAGAGAACTTTAAAATATACACATGAGGGGAGCCTGGGCGGCTCAGTCAGTTAAGTGTCTGGCTCTTTGTTTTGGCTCAAGTCATGATCTCACGGGTCTGTGAGTTAGGGTCCCTCTTTGGGCACTGTGCTGACAGCATGAGTCTGCTTGGGATTCTTCTCTCTCTCTGTCTCCCTCTCTCTCTGCCCCTCCCCTGCTTGCACTCTCTCTCAAAATCATAACCATTTAAAAAAAAAAAGTGTACACATGAGTAGAGTGCAGCATGACCAGCCCCTATTGACCAATACCCATCACCCGGGGAGAAAAAGTGATTGGTGCCATCCTTCAGAAGACCGTCAGTGAGTTTGAAGGGGAGTGAGTGCTTCTGCAACTGTGTGATTCAGTAGCAAGTATGGTAGGGTTGAAAAATTTTAATAACACTGAAATTTTCACTGAAAATGTAAAATAACACTGAAGAAATATTTTCTTCTTTTTTTAAGTGTTTATTTTTGAGAGAGAGAATACGAGTATGGGAGGGGCAGAGAGAGAGGGAGACACAGAATTCAAAGAGGCTCCAGGCCCCGAGCTGTCAGCACCGAGCCAGATGAGGGGCTCAAACCCACGAACCGTGAGATCATGACCTGAGCCAAAGTTGGATGCTTAACCAACTGAGCCACCCAGGTGCCCCTGAAAAAATATTTTCAACAATAAAAGATAGTGATTAGGTTATGAGCTGCATCATGAAATGACTCATTCAAAGCCATTATTAGTAGCAGCATCCAGACCTTTTTGGAAAGCAATTTGGCAATATACTCCAAGAGCATTTGAAACATATGTGTACTCTTTAATCCACTAGTGTCACATTTAAGGAGGGTAAAGCAAGAAAAGGAAGAAGACAAAATGTTATAAAAATTTTAAATGTTCGGTTGATTTTTTTTCCTGATGGGGAGGAAACACCCTAAATACCCATCCACACGTGACTAGCTTAGTGTGAACCGACCTCAGATTAATAGACTGGGGGTTTTTTGGTTTTATGTAGGAAGATGTGGAAGATTGTTTAGGACAAAATAACAAACAGAACAGAAATTGGACTGACGTGGATTTGTGTGATTGTGCACTGGAAAGGATGAAAGAAGGAAAGTAACTCCTTCAACAAGGTGGAAAAGATGTGGGAATGTTGGGGTTCTGAGCTGACGGCCAAGAAAGAATTCTTGAGGCATCTTTGGTGCAAAAAAGGTAGTTTTATTAAAGCACAGGGACAGGACCTGTGGGCAGGAAGAGCTGCACTGGGGTTGTGAGGAGTCGCTGATTTTACACTTTCAAGTCAGGAGAGGGTCAGGGACAGGGGAAACCTCCAAGGAAATTTGGAAACAAGGTTTCCAGAGCCCTGAGGGGGTTAGCTATTGTAAGAAGAAGTTAATTTACTTCTGTCTTGTAAAACCTTACTTACGAGACCCTTCAAATATATATCAGGGGACCATATGCTTGGAGGATGATGGCTAACCTATATCTTGGGGACTAGAGATGAAGGAAGTTTCCAAAGGAATTTCCTTTTTTTTTTTTTTAACGTTTATTTATTTTTGAGAGACAGAGTACAAGCGGGAGAAGGGCAGAGAAAGAGGAAGACACAGAATCCAAAGCAGGCTCCAGGCTCTGGGCTGTCAGCACAGAGCCCGATGCAGGGCTCAAACTCACGAGCCGCGAGATCATGATCTGAGCTAAGTCAGACGCTTAACAAACTGAGGCATCCGGGCCCCCCTCTAAAGGAGTTTCTATATGTTTAAAGAAGGCTTACAGGATCCTGGGGGGTCAGGCTAAGGTTGCCTTTTGCCCCTAGCAAAGTGTCATCATGGAGCCAGCTGAGCTCATAGAGGAAAGTCATTCTGCCTGTTTCAAGGGACTGTCAATGGGCTGTAAGTTGTAAGGAAATTTTTTTTTTGCCTTTGTTCTCCACATCAGAAACATCTGAAGTCACTCGTAAACAGTGGCTCTACTGTGGTTCCCCCACTCCTCACCTGCCTTGGGACTGATGAGTAGGGGTCTTCCAGAATGAAATGTGTAGGCCTGTTGTCGGGTTAGTGTTCCTGAGGTCGTGCTCTCCGAATCTGTCTTTCCTCATTTATAGAATGTAAAAGCAGGTGAACTTCCCCAGCCTGATTTTCCAGATGACTACAATTTGGGTGACATTTTCCTAGGAGTGGAGTATATCTTCCAGCAATGCAAAGGGAATGAGGATTACTATGACGTCCTTACCGTAAGTGGGAATGAGTGCTGGCCCCTGATGCCACAGCCGTGTCCTTTGCCCGGGCCTGGGAAGAGGTCATGGGTGGGACGCTGGCACCCGCACTGCCTCCCGTGTGGGACAAGGATTATTGGGGGAGGGAGACCTACGAGTAGGGGCTGTACCCTCTCTCGTCATCTGGCAGAGAGAGGGAAGAGCCTAAGCCGAGCAGTGTTGGGTGAGAGGAGAGGACAGGAAACATGTCGGAAGCTCCCGGAAACAGCCTTGTTTTTCCCTTTTACCTCTGGAGCTCAGCAGGCTGTGTAGCTAACTCAGACCTACTGAATAAGCTCCTTACAGAACTGTCAAAGTAGATGGGACTGTAGCCTCTAGGACCTTCCAGATCCCACTCTCCTCAGCTGGATGCAAAAGAAAGGAGGGGTGGTTCTGCAGAGCGATCGTATTTTAACTTCCTCATGGATTCGATTGAGGTGTTTTTCTTTGACCAGACAGCCCCTGAATTATCTCTAGGGGATCCTGGAGCTTCTGTGTGACTTGAAGCAGAGCTTCCCAGCAAGAGCCATTGTGACAGGTGTTGGGGGCCTGCTCTCTGGGGTGGGGGTGGACTTTCTGGGAGCAGGAGCCCTGGCACAGACGGGACTGCTCAGCATGGGGTTCGGCTCCAGGGTCTCTGCGGCCGGCAGCCACGCACCCCACAGGCTGCGGTGGGCATCCACTTCCGGCACCCCCTGCCACACCCCAGAGATCCAGTGCCTGCAGGGGAGGGCCGGCCCGCCGCTCCCACCACCCTCATCCCCCCACGACAGGGCTAGGCCGGCCACTCTCCTCCTGGCCGGCACTCCACTGCACGTAGGCACCCCTCACAGCCCCAGGTACCCTCCACCCCTGGGTTCCTAACCTCCCACCACGCATGGGCTGAGTTCTCCCTTCCTTCCCTGCTCCTCCTCCTCTGGCACGTGGCCTGCTCGTGATCAGTCCGTGAAACAGCTTTTTAATTTTTCTGACAGGTGACCGCCACCCATGGGCTCTGTCACCTGCTGGGCTTCACACACAGCACGGAGGCTGAATGGCAGAAGGTAGGAGCTGTCCTCCAGTCCTCCACCATATGCACAAGAGGGCACACCAAGAACCGGGGCTGCCTAGCTATCTCCTGCAGTCAAGTATGAAGACCAGATTTGGAAAACAAAACAAAACAAAACACAAAGGCAGTAAATTAAGGAATTTTATAAAGGCTTATTTCACAAAAAAAGACTAGCAGTGTTCAAAATATCGGGCCCCCCCAATGCTACTAACTGTATTGCTTATTCACTGTTGAAAGGAACGACTGAATAGAGAGACCAAATTCTGTAAGTTCTATAAAACTCTAATGGTTTAAAGTTAAAAAATCTTTACAAGAGAAATTGTGATGTTATTGATCAGTTGGGAACTCAAATCATGCAGGCGTCTGATAGGGACCTATCGGGTGAAGTTACTTAGCCATTCGTATCCTTCAGAAGTGCCAGTGTATCTACCCCATGTATAAGGTTGTGTGCTGGGATATATACGTGTTGTTTTTAATAAGCTCACATTATATTTGTAGTCAAATAATTGGGTTCTCTGGAAGGCATCAAAAAACTTTTTCAATTAACAAGAGTCCTTGATACAGTTGTCCTCACATCCAGTCTATCTCAGGCTGGGTCGCCTGTGGCCACACCCCTCCAAGTCATAGACTGACCCTGATGAGGCCCCTTCGCCCCCCTCTGGCAGCACCTTGGAAAGTCCATGTTGTCACCGCCAGCAGGGACCCCAGCCCTCCTGGGACTTCCTCACCCACCCACCCACCCCCCACCACCACCCCCCCCACCCCTGCAAGCACTGACCACCCTTTCCCCCAGGAGGGGCTGCCCTCCCCCATTTCCTGGGCCCCACTGACTTGTCTGGCCTGTTCTGCAATTCCAAATAGGGACTCATCTTCTTTTACCCAGGGCTACTACTTCAGCCCCTGGCCCCCAGTCCCTCCTGCTGTCCCCACCCATCACCCCACAGGCAGCATGTCCATACTCCCTGTGCAGCGCTGGGTGAAGGTAAGCGGAACCAGGTCCTGCACTTTGAATCTGGGAGAGTCCACACAGCAGAGGCTCCTCATGCCACAGCCATGGGGATGGGCTTCCCCCAGAGGGCACCCCTGGGGCCAGGCCATGAAGCAGTCCACAGTCACTTTCCATTCCCTTCTTTCAGATGTACCAGAAGGAAAAGCAGGTTCTCGAGGAGCTGAGCCGGCGCACCGGGACCAGTCTCCAGCCCCTAAGCAGGGGCCTCTTCTGACTGCTGGAGGCCCAAGATGTGAGTGGCACCTGAGGGACTCTCCAGCACACAGGGACACCATGTGGAGGGCAGATGGACCCTCACCTTCGGGCCCTGAGGACCAGGCACGCCACCAAACTGAGGGCTCTGCTGGTTGCTACTGCCCCGTGGGGCTGCAGAAGTGACTAAGTATAAAAAGTAATGTCCATTCATGTCTTCATTTGGAAGCCAGCAGACATGTTATTTTCAGTATTGCAGATAAGATAGTTCTAAACTCTTAGAGTGGAGAGGTGGAGCACAGGAACTTCATCCGCCTGGGGTTCTGCCTTAGGCGAGAGGCATTCTTCTCTCCTGCCTGTGCAGCCTGCGCAGGAAAATCAACCAGGCGGCCCGGGGCGGGCGTGCCCCTCACCCTCCTTCCTACGGGAACCCTGTTGGATTCGGTCCCCACTTACCCCTCGAGAGTGCTGTGACCTGGTACCTTCATGAGGGGAGACACAAGGCTGACCCTTAGGGTGGCCTCAAGGCCCGGGACCACCTCAGTCACGTGACCCACAGCAGCCATCTCCCACCCGTCACATCTCGTGAGGTGGTTGCAGCCCCGGCTCGGAGCATTGCCCGTGGACTCTACCTAAGGCCTCTTTCCTGACAAGACAGGAGCTCTCGAGCCCTGTTGGCCCTGTTCACCCGCTGAGTGAAGTCAAGTGTCTCCTGGCTCCAGGGGAGCCCTGAGCTCCAACTGCCACATCCCATCCTCTTTCCTGTGTTTCTTGCCTTGTCCTCTGAATATTAAGCCCAGGAGGCAGCACAGACCTTCACCCAGAGCTGCTCATGGGCCCAGGGCATCGTGGGAGCAGACCATGGGCCGCTGGCTGAGCCAGCCCGGGCCTCCATCACTCGGACCTCCCAGGTACCGGTGTTGGCAGCGGCACCGTGACCTCTGCAGAGGCCATGGCAATAAAACAGCCTCTCGGGGACTCTGGCCCCAAAACCAGGGATACTACAATTCTGAGAATTTGGTTTCTCCCATGAATCCATCTCAAAAGGTGAAAATGCATTTCCCACTGGATCTGCCATGTCTCCACTTGGACTTTCCCCAGGCGCTCAGGGACACAGAGGTGGGCTCATGGTGTTCCTGAGTGCTCATGGGCTCAGCGCAGCCTGCCTGTAGCCAGGGAAGCTGGCTCTCAGTGGAAAGTCGAACAGCAAAGACCAAAGATGACCCCACAAAGCTCTTGGCGTTACGGTTCTTTTTAAGAGAAGGAAGGGGTCCTGAGACCTGCCTGTCCTGTCAGCAGGCATTTCGGATGCTCCCCCGTCTTCCGTTACAGCCAACCCCCATGCATCTCTGGTCACGTGGGGCTCGGGAGATCTGCCAGGGATTGGGCCTCAGAACAGAACTGCTGGGGGCTGGGGGTGAGGGATCCAGCTTTATCAGGCAATGCCTAGTGCTTCCCAGGGGCCTGGTCACTCGTCCCCCCTGCAGCCCATAGCAATGACCTTGGCGTCCAGAGCCCAGCCCCCATGCACCCAGACTCCCCACCCCCCGTCACGTGTGCACTGAGGCTGGCCTGCATCTGTCCTGTCAGCAGTGACCGGCTTTTCATTGGCGTCCCCTCCACTGTGAAGTATTGGTTTTTCTTTTTTATTGATTCAGAGGGGTTTTTATATATCATTGAAAACAATAGGGAATGTAAGCCAGTGTCCTTCTGATCTAAATCTGAGAAAAGGCTGTCCCATCCAGCCATGGAGCTCTGTCTCGGCTGTCTCATTCCCCTGGACACTTCTGCCCACCCCTGAGCTGGCCACAGTGCCCTGATTCCAGAGCTTCTGCAAACCCAGCCTCTGCCGGGACAGGCCCTTCTTCCTGCTCCAGGGGTCCCTTGGGTTCTTCAGCCCTTTACTCTCCCGTGTGGTCTCCAGATTCAGCTCCTGAGTGCCAGGAAACACTGGAGTCTCGATTAGAGGCACAGTAAGTCTGCAGAGCAGCTGGGACATTCAGGCTCCAGGCCAGGCCTACATGGTATCTCGTTTCACAGGTCTTCGACTTCTCAGCACCCCACACCAAGGGGCAGGAGGGCACGGCCATGAGAAGAAAATGGTTTCTTCACTCATACGTCTTCTGACATGAAGTGCTAGGAGTCTGTGCAGACCCCACAGGTTAAGGGTTCAGTCCCACAGCACTGCCCCCACTTTGGAGCACGGTATACACACCTCTGTCCGCCTCTACCACAGATCAGGGGACTGTGGGGGCTTGGGGCTCTGGACAGAAGTGGGGGTGAAGACCAAACCTGTAGCTCTTACAGCACACAGTCAAGTTCTGCACAGCCAGCCTCCACCCCGGGCTCCAGGCACTTGGAGCTCAGACCTCCCTCCCAGGCAGGTTTGTAGCAGTGTCAGAAGTTGTGGCTGCTTCCATGTTCACGGCTCTCTTCCAGGGCCCGCTCTGACCTCTTTAGCATCCCCAGGTCGGCCTGCGCAGAACCAAGGGGACCCCCCCCCTCCCGTGAGGGCTGCCTTCACCCCTGTGCCCCACATCAACTGTGACCCCACTTGATGCCCAGTGGTGCCTTGCTCTGTCCTGTCACGGCACCTGGACGCTCCTCGATGCAGGAAGATGTTTCCTTTATCCCTGTGGACCGAAGGCTCCTGAAACCCTTGTAATTTCTTGGGTGACAGGCATGTCTTTTGTTCTGAGGCAACTCTTAGAGGCTCCTGGGGGGGGGCCGGGCCCCCAGAAAGACCTGCCATGATTGGAAGCTTGTTAACTGTTAGCCCCTTCCTCCCATCCCATTCTCCAGAGAGGGAGAAGGGCTGGAAATGCAGTTAGTCTATCTCGCAGGCATGCCTACGAGAGGAAGTCCCCATAAATCCCAGTAGCGCAGGGTCCCAAGAGCCTCCAAGTGAGTAAACACATCCACACTGAAAGGGTGACGCGCCCCAACTCCACGTGGTGGAGGCTCCTGTGCAGGGGACCCTCCCAGACCTGCCCCACCCCTTATCACATCCTTCAACTGGCAAATGTGTTTCCTGAGTTCTGTGAACAGCTCTAACAAAGTAATCGAACCTGAAGAGGGGGTCATGGGAACCTCTGCAGGTCAGGAGCAGGGACAACTGCACTTGCAGCTGGCGAGGGAGGTGGGGGGGCAGTCTCGTGGGACTTCATCCTCACGCAGGTGGACAGTGTCAGAACCGAGTTGGATGACAGGATATCCTGGTGATGCCGGAGAGGACTGGTAACTAGAAGTGACAGAAGTGCCTGTTCTATGTGTGAGTAAAGGACATTCACGAGGAAGGACTGGGTTTTCCTCACTCAAGACACAGACAAAACTGAGTTTTTCCAATTTATCAGGCCATCCAAAGACATCCAACTTCTGTTAAACTTCCTCCCTGTATTTAATTAATAATTGTGTTGAGAAATAAAACCCAATTGTGTTCAGAAAAGCCATGTTAGAAAACATCAACATTGGGACGCCTGGGTGGCTCAGTCGGTTAAGCGGCCAACTTCAGCTCAGGTCATGATCTCACGGTTCGTGTGTTCAAGCCCCATGTCAGGCTCTGTGCTGACAGCTCGGAGCCTGAGCCTGCTTTGGT